TCTCCTTTCGGGATCTTGGGCACACACGCACGCACATGCGCCATGTGTGAGTTTAAGCCACCAGGTCTGGGACTCGAACCACATGGGAGTCCAGCGACATAACCATTACGCTAACTGCTGGTCCCTGTTTTATTTTGTTTTTGAAGAGGGTTTCTTCATGTACACTCACTGGGAAAGACAGAGAGACAGAAAAGGAGAAATCACCCTCTGCGGGGGATGGCCCCACCACAATCTCTTCTCCTCTGCTCTCCTTTCGGGATCTTGGGCACACATGCACACATGCCCAGTGTGAGTTTAAGCTGCTTAGTCCGGGACTCGAACCACGGTCGACTACATGGGAGTCTAGCAACATATCCATTGTCCTGTGAGCTCCCATGGGGCTTGCCTCTCCTCCCAAGCTCCTTCCTGCTGTTGGCAGGATTTAGTCCCTGTGGTTGTAGGACTGAGGTCACTGCTCCCTGGTGGTCGGGGTCGCTCAGCTCAAGGCTGCTCCTTGGTCTGGCGAGAGCCCCGTCATCTACATGGCCAGCCGCTGTGATCAAGTCTTTCTCCAGCTGTGACTTTCTCTAGCTTCCTCTCTGCCACCAGCCTGGCATTCTCTGCTTCTAAGGACACACGTGGTCACACTGCCCGAACCTGGTTCAGTCCAGGCTAGACGCCCTGCCTAAAGCCGGCTCTGCCAAACGCCGCACCACGTTCACAGGGTGAGGCCTCAGCACGCTCACAGGTCCTGGGGGCTAGGGCAGGGTGTCTTTGGGGGCTATTTTAGAAATCCTGCCTGCCCCATCTCCCTTTTGTTCTACCACCATACCCTACCTGCCAAGCCGTCGCTGCCTGAGTACTGCTCACGTGGACTCCCTGATCCAGCCTCACGGCACCCCCAGAGCCAGACCACTGTCATGGCTGAGTCCCGCAGCAGATCCCTGCGGGGCTCATCTTCCTGCACTTTCCCCAGCTTACCGCCCACCCCCATCGGAGCCTAAATGATCTCTCAAAACCACAAAGCTAACCACGTTGCTCCCTGCCGAAGCCCACCGTGTTGTTTACAGACACACCTGAGATCACCGGGTGCTCACTGGGTAATGTTTGACTCACAATGCCAGTGTCTACAAAGTCCAAAGGTATGAGTCTGGCGCTGGCTGGCTGTCACCACAGCCAGCATACGCACAGGGTGGAGGGCTCCTGAAGGGAGAGACCGGGGGCAGCCATCTTCCGTTCTAACAACCTGTTCTCATGAGATCAAACCCTTCTCCTCGCTAGAACTCACTGGGTCTCATGAGACATCGTAACCCAGTCACGAACGTGATGCCTCTGTGATCCAGTCTCCCCCACTCGGTCCCATCTCCCAACACCGATACTCCAGGGACCAAATTCTAACACATGAATCCCTGGGGACAAACCACTATCTGAACCATAGCACACCCACTTCAAATCCTGCAGTGGCTCTCCAGCAGCCTCCGATCAGCAAAACTGTAACGTTCACTTGTTCCCATGTTTTATGAGTACTGATCCGTGTCAGCTCACAGACAAGACAGGCTCTAGGCTTTCTGCCCTGCAGGATGGAGGGACCCGACCATGAGGATGGTTGCAGTGAGCACTAGGCCCGGCCATGTGAGCAGGACCTGCCATGTGGCCATCTTAGCTCCGCCCTTGCCCACTCCCGCCCTCATTCTCTTCTCACCTCCAGATCCTCCCAGCACCCTCCTCTACGCCCTACCCAACAAATCTCAGTAGGCAGCAGGCTGCCCCAATTCCATGTTCTTCTGAAGCTCCCGATGCTTCCTGGCCATGGGATGCAGCGCCAGAGTTCAAGGAACCTCTGGGAGGCAAGGACTTTCGGGTTCACCATTGCATCTGCCAATGCCAAGTCCAACGCTGGGCACAGAACACTCAGTAAATTCTCTTCAAGGAATGGCAAGTCCGATATGGACAGTATAGAGTCAATCCTCCTCCGCAAGCCTGACAGTAAGCCCAGTCTACAGAAAGTGCCGCAGCCAAAATTTCAGCCGCACAGACTTCTACCCCATGGGTGTCCATGGTGGCACCCTCCACCCAAGTCTTAGCTGAAACTGCAGCTGGGGACTCAGAGGTTTCTGCCTGGGAAGAGCTATCATCTATCTATCGATCTATTTATTTCTTTTTGAGAGTTTGCCAAAGAGACAGAAAGTGAAAAAAACACACCTGGGAGGACCACCACAGCAATCCCTTTTCCTCCATTCTCCTCTTAGGACTTTGGGAAAACACACACACTTGCCCTGCCTGAGTTTCAAGCTGCCTGTCCAGGACTCAAACTGCAGTCAGCCACGTGGGAGTCCAGCGACGTAACCACTACACCATCTGCTGGTCCCACAGAGAGCAGCTGTGTAAGGAATGGAGTCAGCACCATCCGTGGCTCCAAGTCTTGCAGGAACAGCCGTGCTGATTCCAAGAGACCCAGGAGAAGAGATGAAATGTTCTGAGCACAAGGAAAGGAAATGAGCATGGGGGGAGCCAGCAGATGGTGTAATGGTATGTCACCGGACTCCCACATAGTCGACTGCAGTGAGTCCCAACCTGGTGAATTAAAACTCATGCCCAAGATCCCAGGAGGAGAATGGAGGAAAAGCGATAGTGGTGAGGCTGTTCCCCGGGGTGTGTGTGATTTCTCGCTTTCTGTTTCTCTGGGAGCACAGGCACCTATAGTAAAACGCTTTCAGAGAAAAGAAAATGAGGGGCCAGCAGTTAGCGTAATGGCTATGTCACTGAACTCCCATGTAGTCAACCGTGGTTCGAGTCCCGGACGGGACCTGGTGGCTTAAACTCATGCCGGGCATGTGTGCGTGCATGCCCAAGATCCTGATAGGAGAATGGAGGAGAAGGGATTGCAGCGTGGCCATCCGCCCTGGAGGGTGATTTCTCGCTTTCTGTCTCTCTGTTCTGGTGAGCACACGCACCCTATAGCAAAAACCTCTCCAAAAAAAAGAAACAAAGAAAGAAAAAAGAAAATGAGAATGGGGGCCAGCAGATGGCGCAGTGGTTCTGTCCCCCAACTCCCGTGTGACCGACTTGAAACTCAGGTCAGTCCACTGCGTACTTGCCTAAGATCCTGGGAAGAGAATGGACTGCTGTGTGGCCATCCCCTTTGGGGGGTGATTTTGATGCAGGAAAATGGGGACGCAGCGGTGATCGGGCCCACACTGGCAGTGAGACATGGACGCCCGCGCAGGAAGAATTAGCCACGAACATGGAGAGTAGGTATAGCAAAGCAAGGAGTTTATTAGCCAAGTGAGGGATTTATTTATTTTTGAAGAATTGCTTTATTTAACTTTATTTGAACAGACAGCGACACAGTGTGTGTGAGAGAGAGAGAAAGAAAGAGAGAAAGCAAGCCACCAGGTCCAGAACTTGAACCACAGTTGGCCATGTGGGAGTCCAGCGCCTTTAACCATCATGCCACCTGCCGGCCCCAAGTGAGTAATTCTTTAACAATGCAGGGAATTTATTAAATGAGAGGGAAGAAAAAACAGAGCCCCTAAGAAGGGAGGGGTCCCAGAAAATGGGTTGCCAAGGAAGAACTGTGGCAAGGGGTTTTCATGTGGGTCAGCAAGGGCTTGGTCTGACTTGGGTTCTAGGTGGGGAACACGCTGGGTGGATCCAATTATTCTTATTTTGGAGTGTCTTTGTCTAGAAGCTTTGGGCCATGAAAAGCCATTATCTTCTCTTCCTGGAAGGTGGGGCCTGGAAAGTGTTTCCGACGGGGTCATGCTGCCTCAGTCAATCCCTGCGTGGCCACTTGTGCCCATACTCTGTAACTTTAGGCCCGTCTCCTATTTCTCACGTTCCTTCTCACTGTCTCTCCCTCCTGGAGCACAAGTGTCCTAACTTTATGTATTTATTACTTATTTTAATCTAACTAGGCAGAAACAGTGAGAGCGAGAGAGTGAGAAAGCAAGCCACCAGGCCCAGGCCTCCAACTGCAGCAGCCATGTGGCTGCTTAACCACCACGCCACCTACCGACCCCCAAAACTTATTTTAAAAACAAAAGGCGGGAACCAGCAGTTAGCGTAATGGCTATGTCGCTGGACTCCCACGTAGTCGACCGCAGTTCGCGTCCTGGACCCGGTGGCTTAAACTCACGCTGGGTGCATGCGCATGCCTGCCCAAGATCCCGAGAGGAGAATGGAGGAAAAGGAATTGCGGCGTGACCATCTCCCCTGGGGGGTGATTTCTCGCTTTCTGTCTCTAATGTCTCTCTCTGTCTGTCTGGCGAGCGCACGCGCCCTATAATGAAAATCTCTCCAAAAAAAAAAAAAAAGGCTACCCCCGCAGCCACATCTGCGAGCGGGCCCAACCCTCACGCTGGCGGTCCCTGTGGACAGAGTGCACGCGGGAACCCCCACGCCCAGCCGTGCCCGTCCCCCGCCACGCACTCCATGGCCGCCCTTCAGACCAGCGTGCTCTGGGCAGGAGACACGCAGGGCCCGGCAATGCCTGGGACCGACGGGCAGAGAACCCCTGGCCCTGCAGACGAGCTCCGGGTGGTGGGGAGGCGAGCTCCGCGCTGGCACGGCCCGGCTCGGCAGGGAGCCCCGGCGGCCCCG